GCTGAGCCTGTGGAATGTCAGCCTCAGGAGAGACAAAGCCAGGAATGACATGAGGCTGATCAAACACAGGCACCACCTGAGCAGCTGGAGACGTCAGATGAGGGTGACGTAAGGCCTCCCAGCCCCCACACCTGAGGAATAGAGAAGACAGCAGAGCAGCGAAGGTCTATTAGGCTCCTTGCCAAGCAAGGGAGTAAATCTCCTGATTAGTGACAGCTGGCTGCAGCCTTATTGAAGAAACAGCTCTGACCCACATTCTCTATGCTGGAAACAACTCTGGCTCTTGTGTAACATTCCTACAAACCCTGTTTTTGTTTGAAACCCTGAACTTCTGGACTGGCTGGCAATGCTGACCTGGCTCTTGGAACCCTGGATTTGGACTACTCTTTGGTGTGCTCCTATTTAGAAAGTAAACTCTTTTGTTTACATTACTTTGTTTGCTGTTATCTCTTCAGCCTCAGAGTAAAATTGCTAAACTCCATAAGCAACTGTGTGTGTGAGCAGTTGAAATCTGAAGCAGGACAGTCACAATGTGCCCTTTTGTGTGTGCATGTTACATCAATGCACATATAAAAGGGGTGGAGCTTCAATCATGCAGTCATGACTGCCTTTATTGAGCACCCCAAGCAGATGACCCAGCTTTGCTGCCAACCAAAATGCATCTCCTAACCAATGAGGAGGAGTTAAACATTAGACTTGTCTGACCTTGTGGGAGTTACTTCCCACATTGATCAAAAGTCTAGCAATTATAAAAACAATAAGTACAAATGCATACTGATCTGTCTTCACAAAAGAGCAAGCTTCCAGTCCTCTTCATCATCAGAATGTGAAAAATGGGCAAGAGTTTTGCCACCATAAATTGCCTAGATATAAGTGTCTCATTTGAAAATGAGGTACTCACTGGAATTCTTGTGCTGTAATGTTAACCTTACTTCTGATAAATATCACTAATCAGAGTACTGGGAGATTTCTTCATTGGATTAAATGTTTCCAGGCCAGACTCCCAGCAGGAAACTCTGACAGGTCTTTTAGTATAATGAAGCCATTTATTTATTTCACAAGATTTATAGCCCACACCATTCTTAGTAGAGTCTGGGTAGGTTGCAACTAAGTCAAAGCAAACAAAATTTTAAAAAGTAAAATGATATGATGAAAAGTCAACAATAAACATTGCAGGCAATCATAAAATAAAAAACTAAGGCCTATGCTGGAACAAGATTGCTTTGGTCTGCTTATAAAATGCCAGCAATACTGGGGCTATGCATGTTCTTGGGAGGGAGTTTATTCCACAAAATGGGGGTTCCCACTCAGAAGGCCTGTTGCTTGATCCATGCTCCATGAACCTCACAAGGTAGGAGAATCTGCAATAGGTTCTGTCTTGATGACTGGAAAAGATAGATTGCTTCACTATGCAGTGCAAGAAATACCATCACCACCTTAAAATCTTGCTGCTCGTGCAAACATGTACTGTATTATACCATTCTTCCCCAACTCTCTTACTTAAATTCTTATTGAAAAAACTGAAAGACTGCAACAAAGCCTGGCCATGATCCCAAATTATCAGGATCTGATTCTGAAAATATTGGAGCAGAGTACTTAATTGATGCTGTTCAGATATATTGAATTATATCTTTCCTGGTCCTCGGTTTTGATTGGAAGTCCCTGGTTGTGGTTGCATTATTTTTTTTTCATGTTAATGACTATGAAGAAAGAGATCTTTAATTTGTTAAGTAGATACATTAATAGACAAGGATCCCAGTGATATAGATAAGTGTTTCTTAACCTTGGCAACTTGAAGATGCACGGACTTCAACTCCCAGAATTCTAATATAACATCTATATAATGTTTTATTATGCAAATGACATGAAAAGGCCTAAGGATAAAAACCCCAAACAAAACCCTCTGAACCAAAGCATCCTCCTTGTTAGCATCACAAAACCAGTAAGTGAATTATGGACTTGTTTAATTTACCTGAACACCTCACATCTCATGATCCCATTTTGCACAGTTCTGTATGCACAAGCACAATTCTGTTTTAATTAATTATGGCTATAATTTCTGGGCTGCAAAAATGCAGTCAACCACTAGATGATAGCAAAAAGAAACAGAAAACCTGAATGCTTTGCTGTCATCTTGTGGTTATATGGAATGTTGCATCGTCCAAAAAGTTGTTTATTTTCCTTAAAGTTAGAAGCATAGTTTATAATGTATTCTAGTGCAGAGATTGGGCTTAATATAAATGAAATTTCATTGGAAAATCAGTCTGGTAAAGGTTCTCTGATTATACAGAAGCAGAATTGGGCCCATACCAGAACCAACATAAATAGTTTGACCCATTGAAAAATCAGTCTAAAATGCCATTCTCCCTTACTCCTGTTCATATCTGCCAGTTCACGTTTACATGAGAGTAAGTCCTATTTATTCAATGTGTCTTGTTTCTAGATAGGTGTGTGTAAGATTGCAATGTTAACCATCTCTTTCTGGGAAAACAGGCATTTCAAACCTAAACTCGTGTTCTGGAGGACGTTTATCACAGTACAACATAAACTTTATATCAATTTGTTAAACAAGAAATCTCTTTCCATAAACATTCATAGAATGTATCCAACCAGCTGACCAACACCAATGAAAATGCGTCTTCATTTGCTGGACAAAATTGTTGTTAAGAGTAAATATAAAATTGCTATATTGGCAGCATCCTACTGAGACAACATACTATTTCTGTGTGTATATCCAAACTGACAAAAAAAGGGGGGAGGGATTATGAAGGAAACAAGTGCATCAAAGCAAGCCCTTATAACAATTCTAGGCATATATTTACACATTTGCCAAGAAAAGAAGGAATGCAAAATGAATTTAAATTTCCCCTTGTATCATTAAAAGTGTGTTAATTTCTTATAAAATGAAGTATCGTTACAAATAATAGACACAGAAGGAACAGTCCTCTGTATATTTAAAGCAAATAAATAATAAGCAATGGTAAACAGGACATGGAGTCATTGAGCTGGATCCAGACTTATTTGAAAATGGCAGAACAATTTAGTCATACTTTAAATTCCGCTGATTACAGTTGAAGCTAACTGATTTCATTGTAAACGAAAAACAGGAGAGGGCAGAGAAACAGTCTGGAGCCAAGTTGCAAGAGAGAGAGAACTGCACTACCAAGTTGCAAGAGAGAGATAACTCCACTACATCCTGCTGGTTTATTTGTACACAACTGTTACAAACATACAACTTCTAGTTCTTGTTTATGCATTTCTTAGTCGAATCAGTGAACGTGCAGGAAACATCAAGCAGATAACGGTGTTGGAATGATCTCCAAAAGGTACTTCAGAGGGCTCAGCCTTGCGAACATACTGTCTACAGTCCCTTAAAGCAGCTGCATCTTTCCTTCAGTCTTCGGAAACAATACAGCTACTTTAAGGGTCACAGAAGGCTGCTATATTTGTGCTTCCACATGGTCAGAAGCTGTTTTGGAAGATGAATCCAAAGTACTGCAGAGGCTTGAGTAGTATTATATAAGTGTTGCTCTAGCTCTACCTATTAACAATTATTTACCATTATTCTTTTTTTTTTTTCATTTAGAATATTTGTTCATTTTTACCAAGATCTGACTCAGTAAGAAAGGGCAGGATAGAAATTTCAGTAGAAGAGAATATACATAGCTCAGGGCTGAACTGTGGAGTTCTTGGTGCTCTCTGAGCTTGGTTGTTTTCTTGCAAATGTTTTGTTACCCATCTAGGTAACATCATCAGTGCAATTGAGTGTGGGGTTTGCTCCTTGTTTATATACAGTAGCTTTTTCTGCCAGTGTTGATGAGGGTGTGGTTTTCTCCTTGGTACTTCCTTGATTAGAGTATTGTTTTTTGCTTGATTGTTTGGTGTTAATCCCTGCTTATCTGGGTGTTGGCTGCTGGAGAGGATGTGTTCTGAT